TTACTGCAAATTTAGAGAGATGCCCACATTATCCACATACTCCCCTAATCCTCATGTGGCTCTGTAATTGGAATAACTTTTATTTTCCTCGAGTTTTCTTTTAATTCTAGGTATCGCAAATCTTTTTCTAATCAATTTAAGTCAAAAGGCACATGAGTAGGAAACACTCTGCAGGCATCACAGACAGTGGTCATGCCCCATGCTAATATCAAGAGAGTCATTAAAACAGAGAGCGGGGCTCTTGAATCAGTCTCAGTGTTAAACACATCATAAGTGCCCAACAGTTTGTCATGGGAGAAAAGCAGTCATAGCCACATTTTTTCCTACAATCAAAATTGTATAATGAAGCTCAGCTCTATAAAATGGGAATAAGTGTACTAGTGAATGTACCATAAAAATCATACTGACAGCTTCAGGTTGCCTAATCTTTAAAAACTATATTATAGAACATGTTTTACCAAATAGATCTGCTTCAGCTAAAAGAAGTTTTAAATAATTAATGATCACATTGCTGTCTTAGAGAAGTGTAGTTTTATCAAAATGGTTCTGACATATTTTTAAAAATAGAGCAGGTTGATGTCATGGTAACCAGTTCATGATATCTTGCAAGGAGAGGTGTTCAGTCAGCGCTCTGTTATATATAGCTGCTTCACAATACTATAAACCCTCTCTTGACAGACCATCTCTCATCATTACTAGAATACTTCAGAATTTACTAGAAATTTCTGGAAAGACTGACCAGGTTGTCAGCATTGATTCTAAACAGACCTTCAAGGCATTTCCCTGAGTTGCTAAACTAGATAGTAAATGTAGTTGGTTTTTCTTGTTGGAGGCATGAGGTGGAATTTTTTTGAAGCTAAAGTCTACAAGATTGGCACATTGGGTTTTTACTGGACAGCACCAAGCTGCTGGGACTAGAGCTTATAAATTCAATGACAGCAGCAGTTGATACACCAAGTGTCACAGACGTGTTCACTGTCATTACACACACTGATTGCATAGCTGTTGCATCTGTCTGTCTGAGTGAGGAGTGTAGATGGATGGTCAGGTTGGGGTCACAGTGTGGAGCCAAAGAGCTTGTCCATGCACTTGGGCTTGGAGAGGAGTACGCTCTGCCTCAGTTTTCTGTGATGCTTCTGCATTCCAAAACTTGTGCTACAAAGTGCAAGTTTTATTTGATTGCCCGTGTCTCCTATTTTCTTCTTGGTCTGTTATTGTGTGGATGTTGCTAGAACCTTTTTCGCTCTATCTTCAGGTGGCTAGACGATGCTATAATCGATGAGATCACACCCAAGCTGATTGGAGACCGGCCCAACACCTATACCTACACCAAGGCCTTGGGAGAGGTGGTGGTGCAGCAGGAGAGCAAGAACCTCAACATTGCCATCATCAGGCCCTCCATCGTGGGAGCCACCTGGCAGGAGCCCTTCCCGGTCAGCCATTCCCCAGGCCTCCACACAGGTCTCCCCCTTGCCCAGCACTTTCTCCTGTTCTTTCAATTTTTTTCCTCAGGTGTGCTGGGTTCAGAAACTCAAACACAAGCCTGTTGTATTAAAGCAAAGTCCATGTTGGGTTCAGGATTGATCTAGCTTCAGCCTCTGTACATGACATCCTAGAGTTGGTAGAGATGCTAAATAACTTCCTCTAATCCTAGTCTCAAAATTCTCATGGGAGAATTTTAATTTCTTGGCTTTCCTGCCATTGTTTAAATATTCCAGAATGTTCTCAGTAGCCAGATTTGTGATTTTACAGATGCCAGAGTAATAGGAATCACAAAACTGACAAAAGGTTGTCAGCTTAGGAGTAATGTCTTTACCTTCTGTATAACTCTATATTCTTTTTTTTTTTTTTTTTAAGTACTTTGAATTATACCATCTTCTCGGAGCACATTCTGTGAAGCTGTAGGGCCAGATGAATTCAAGCTCAACTACTTACTAAAGCACAACCTTGAGTTATTGGACAGGTTACTACCACCCACTCTGGAGCGTTGTCAGTCAAACAAAAAAATGGGGGAGGAGCACCTGCTCCCCAGTAAAAGGCTCAAGATTGAGTGCTTCGTCCTCTTCTAGCTCCTCTCCGATGAGATACACACATTTTGACTTTTGAAGATAGGCAGCCATAACACCAACTCACTTGCTTAAGGCTTAGGAAACAAACTTAGAAAGCTGTTTTCTTCTCACTGCTCCTAAACATATCTTTAGCATCTCTAAGCATGCTTAACACTAATATATGAGCACTGCGGCTCTTAATGTTTCCAAGGAATTTCTTTGAATCCTGTTTGAAATGTTCCCCCAACATTTAACCACGAAGTCAAAATGAGGCCCAGGGAGGGGGAGAGTGATGACTGTGAATTGGTCAGCAGAGCATGCTGTTAAAGACAAAGCCTGGTGTTGCACCCTCAGGGGTCACATAATAAATTGAAAACATCCTTGGCACCTCCTATGGAAAAAATGCTGCAGAATTTTAAGTCTTGTACAAATCAAGTGCAGAAAATATCCAGTGCTTTGCCTCTGACACTTGCTTGTGATCTTAGAAATGCTGGATTAAAGAGTTCTGGTTGCTGGGGTCTCATTGGTCTTCTTGGACAGTTATTAAATTAGACTGTTTTATTGCAAAGGTATTGTGACTTTTTTCTTGCACATGTAACCAATCACTCCCTTTTTGTTTTAGGGTTGGGTTGATAACTTAAATGGACCCAGTGGACTCATTATTGCGGTATGTAGAGTGATGGGGAAAAAACGCTTTGAAAGGTCTTGGGGAGAGGAACACGCTGCTCAGTGTTGGCTCCGCCGCATGATCTGAAATCAGAAATCTTACTTTAGTACAACTGACAGTAGAAGCGAAGTGAAATTATTCATTATTACCAATAAATTTTCTTATCAGGAAAACAGAGCAACTGTGATCTCATCAGTCACAGTTGCGAGGAATTTTGGGGAAGCATTGGAAGACCAGGCACCATGTCTGCACTTCCCTTGTGTTACCACAAGGTGGGGGTATTTCCACCTTTTTTGCTATTAACTTGGTAGCTTGAATTACTGCAGGAAACTGGGTTTACAATAAAAGTAATATTCGCAAGGGTGATTAAGTTCTTGATGATTTAAAAAACAAAGTGTTGACATGTGTGTGAATGGAAACTATGTCGACATAAAATACATCAATACTTAGCTCTCCAAAACTACAAGAGCGACCCATGAGGACAGATATTTCAAGTATGAAAATTGATTAATAGAGGGCAGGTTTTTCACAGCAGCCCTCGCAGACAGGGAGAAGCCTCTCTGGCCCCTGTGGGTCAGCAGCCTCGGGGCCTTCCCTGCCTGCACAGCCAATCTGAGCAGCACCGTGGCAGTTTCCACGGAGGGATTCCAGGGCCCCACATCCACTTTTTAGGATGGAGATATCAATATATTCAATTCCCTGAATGGGATCTCAGCCTTCAGAGTATCTCAGTTCTCAGAACTAGGTCCAACATCAACTGAAATACAAACCCGTAACAGTGACCACTTGTCAAGACCAGAATGAAGGATAAGCTTTGTGATTATTTTCTAGCGATAATTATCTATTCCTTACCTCTTTTTAGTCCTTTCTTTCTTAAGGCTCATTAGGGGGTCAACATTTGATAACTTAGAACATGATTCTTTTAAAGTACTCTCAGACTGAGTTCTATTACATTGTTTTAAAACTACATATTCAAATGTCAAGTTCCCAGCCTGGTTTAAAAAAGGGGCATCAATGGGGCCTTTCTGCTGGCACTGGGGTTAAAATCTCAGCACTAATAAACTGTCACCAGCCACTGTGGCATGAACTCTATCTCCAGCCAGCGAGGAGACCCACATGGTGAGCAGACCTCTCTGGTGTTGCCTGCTACTCCCTTCAGCAGTGTATTTCAGTCAGTCTGCCTGTTCTGTTCCCCCCTCTGTTTCTGGTGCATCCTCTCACCCCTCCACACACACACCTCTGGCCTACACCCGATCCTTATATGCATGAATAAATAAAAATAAATCT